TTGTAAAAATACAAGTAATTCAAAAAATATTTTTACCACTTTATTCAACCAAGAAAATTTAGTAAAATTCACAAAAGATCAAACATTACGGGATTTGATCAAATATTTTTATCACTCTATTCAACCAAGAAAACTTAGTAAAATTCAAAGAAGATCAAACATCCAGCTATAAGACTTTCCAGATGACTTAATTATTAGTTATCTGGGAAGACTAACACAAATTCTTAATACATACTCATAAAGTCTGGACGACTTAGTAGAAGACTTATAATTAATTCTTCTGGAAAGTCATCTAGCTGGAAGAATTTCCAGATGACTTAATTATTAGTCATCTAAGAAGACTAACACAAATTCTTAATACATACTCATAAAGTCTGGACGACTTAGTAGAAGACTAATAATTAAGTCGTCTGGAAAGTCATCCAGCTGGAAGACTTAATTGTAAGTCTTCCAGACGGGTCATTTTTGCAATTGAAATTTAAATGAGACGACTTACTTCTAAGTCTTCCAGCTTTGTATGTTAAAAAAAAAAATCTGGACGACTTATAAATAAGTTGTCTAGGAAAAACAGGCTAATTTTGCATTTGACCGAATTATGTCAGATATTTGACTTTTTCTGGACGACTTATTAGTAAGTCGTCTCCGGGAAAGTTAAAATTTCAATATTTTATTAAATCTAGATGACTTACGGATAAGTCGTCTTAGGTTAGTTTTGTAATTGAAAAAAAAACTTTAATTTTAATTTTTTTCCAGAAGACTTAATTTAAAGTCGTCCAGCGAGACAACTTATTTTAAAGTCGTCCGAGATAAGCAAAGTTTGACCGGAAAAAAATCTGGACGACTTTACTTATCTCAGACGACTTTAGAATAAGTCGTCTGACTGGACGACTTTAAAATAAGTTGTCTGACTGGACGACTTTAAATTAAGTCTTCTGGAAAAAAATTAAAATTAAAGTTTTTTTTTTTCAATTACAAAACTAACCTAAGACGACTTATCCGTAAGTCGTCTAGATTTAATAAAATATTGAAATTTTAACTTTCCCGGAGACGACTTACTAATAAGTCGTCCAGGAAAAGTCAAATATCTGACATAATTCGGTCAAATGCAAAATTAGCCCGTTTTTCCTAGACAACTTATTTATAAGTCGTCCAAATTTTTTTTTTTTTTAACATACAAAGCTGGAAGACTTAGAAGTAAGTCGTCCAGCTGGACGACTTAGAAGTAAGTCGTCCAGCTTAGGCCTGGGCATTTTACCCGGACCCGAAGACCCGACCCGAAACCGACCCGAAAAAACCGGGTCCGGGTAGGAACCGACCCGAGCAAATTACCCTATCGGGTCTTGTTGTGGAGGACCCGCGGGTCTTGAACCCGACCCGAACCGAACCCGAAACCCGATGGGTACCCGAATTAATAGTGTAAATTAAATAAAATGCATTGAGGGGAGTCGAAGACGGGTTGTTTCTATAGAGAGTAAGGGGGTCAACCACTAGGAGACAACGAATTGTTGTTGTATCTCGCATAGTTTAATATATATACACATTTTAATATAGTAAAAACACAAATTTTGAATAAAATTTTGAATATTTTCAGATATATAAGTATTTTCAGATTTTTTTTTATATATTTAGGTATTTTTTAGGTCGAACCCGAACCGAACCCGACCCGAAACCGAACCAAATCCGAACCGATAAATTCTAATTACCCGAATGGGTCCAACTATCTAAGACCCGACCCGACCCGGACCCGGTACAACCCGAACCGAACCGAAACCGAAAATTTGAAATTACCCTATCGGGTCC